GAATAAGGAATTACTTCCTAACATCTTATACAAATGTTCTCTTGTTTAGGTAAAAGCCATTCCTCCTTGTCCTGTCATTATCAAAACTTGTAAAAAGTTGGTATCCCTCCTCGTTTATAAGCTTCCTTTAAGTACTGCAAGATTGCAACAAGGTGTCCCTGCAGACTTCTCCTCTCCAGACTGAATGAGCCATGCTTTTCAGCCTTTATTCACAGGATAGGTGCTTAGTGGCTTGCCTCTGTATCTGAACCAACAGCTCCACATCTTCCTTGTGCTGGGAGCCCCCTGGACACAGTACTGCAGATGGGGCTTGCCCTCTCACTGGGCAGAGCAGAAGGAGACAATCACCTCCCTCTCCCTGCTGCCACCCTATTGATGCAGTTCAGGATACTGCTGGCCTTCTAGATTGCAAGTGCACACTGCTGGCTCATGTCCAGCTTTTTGTTCACCAGAACTGCCAAGTCCTCTGCAAGGCTGCTTCCAGTCTGGACTTCTTCTTCCAGTCTGTACACATACCCAGGATTGCCCTGATCCAAATGCAGCACCTTGTACTTAATCTTGTAGAATCTCATTAGCTTCCCATGGGCCCAATTCTCAAGCCTGCCCTGGTCCCTGTGGGAGAGAACTGGCAAATCCATGCTGCAAGATCAAAAAGCAGTGCCAGTACAGAAGGTGGTTAATTAAATCACCAGTTCCTAGTTTCTGATGAGTTAAAACATAATTATCTAATTTTATTCTTCTAAATACACAAGGGCCTTACAACTTAAAAAAAAAATGAAAAAAAAAAAGCGCACAACATTTTTGTAATTGTTTGTCTTAGCACTCATCTTTTACTAAGCTAGTGGAGAAGTAACAGGAATCAATTATGTGACCTAAAGAGCCACCAGTGGACTCTGAAGTCTTTACTCCAACACAAAGAGCAAGAAACCATTTAATTGCTCCTTTGACCACATTAAGCAGTATACATCCCTGGACAAAGTCTTCAGCATTCGCTTTAACCAAAAGTCATCAATCTTTGTATACATTAAAGTACAGAGATCTATCAGCAATTATTTGAGTTTTCTTGGAAGAGCTTAAGTAAAGTTTCCTTGATGTGATTATTTGCCTTGTGTTACACTCATTCTTGGCACAGTTTCACAGGAAGGATTACAGCTGGGATTAATTTGGCCATTCTGTATATATGGCTGACACTTTATATACCTCTCAAAAAGGCATTGTTTATTTCTTATTTGCACTTATCTGCAAGTGCAAGTGATAGAATTCTCTGGAATGCGCTGGCTGGCACCTTTTTTTACTTGCCAGGTTAACAGTGACTTCAGAATTTAAACCAAATTTAGTTACTACTGGCAACCCATGAGGTATGGGGGGATCCTTTTCCCTCCTGAATCATGCAACATTTTAATGCTCACCTAACAGCTCCACGCCTGTGAATTTTATGATCACAAGGATCTGAGCTCCTACTGAATTTAAACCCATACAATTACAGAGAGAGCAAGATTGTGATTGCAGAGAAACACTTCAAGACATTCAATTTAAAAGCCCTCCACAAATATCACATAACTCCCAGATGTACCATATTTTACAATGATCATGCTCAGGTATGGGACGGAAGAGAAAAAACAACATTATACAAACACATGGAACCAACAGTACTGTCCAATTTTGTGGTGGTTTGTGCCAGCCCCACTAGCACTTGTTGGTGATCAGACTGAAGGACCAAACCAGCTCTTTGAACATGCTGCCAGGGTGACTTATGCACTGCTCTGGGATCTGAGGTATCCGTTACAGAAAATGGAAAAATGTGGAGGAATGCAGAGTGAGGACATCAGAGTCACTGAGGCATTATCCATCCAGCACCCATCACGGCACACACTCCTAACCTTCACAGTGGTTTGATAATCACAGTGCAGTGATAGAGTGCAGCACGCTGACAGTGACAGAACTGGTGTTTGCAGACAACCTTCGTCCTTTCCAAACTCTTCAAAAACAGCACCCTGTAGCCCACTGCCTACAGCAAGTGGTATGGATGTTGGCATTGCTCCGGTACCCGCAGACCAGAACAACACACTCGGCCACTTCATTTATAGGATCTTTTGGTTTTCTACCCCTATTCAAGATTCTAGCTTCTGCACATTCTGTGTATGTGGATTTCACATCTTCTTAATATGTCCTCACAGAACGCTTTGCTCCTCCTGAATAGATAGTGTTACACTCGTGTTGGACTACAGATGTCTTGGTGCATTGGCTTGTTACCCCAACACACATCTTCACCTTCAGTCAGAGGTGAGCCTCCACTCTCACACGGATGGTAAGCATTCTTCAGGAATACCTCAGCACTCTGCCTACAAATAGAGTCCTGCACTGCTGAAGATTAAAAAAAAAATTGGCTTTATACATACAAAGTTTAGAAAGTTCTATCCTCCTTCAAGTCACAGGCTTATTCGACACCCTTGAACAAATGTTTTTTTTTCCCCACTTCTGCTTTCAGACATCCAAATGACAACAATTTTTTCAAGGCAGTATATATTGCAACCTGTGTTTCTTACTCACAATACATCCCAACTGATGTGACCCACCTTCCTCTTGCTGGTTCTTGGACAGAAGCAGATGAAGTGTTAGCAAAAGAGAAAGACAAAGGAGGCTATCTGGAAGTAGAAATAGCATGAATTCCCTGCTCTCCACAGTTTCAGAAATGTCTCTCTTCTCACATATAAATACCCTCATTTTCTTCCACAACAGAGAAAGGACTAAGTAGAACCTACATACCTACATTCATTTTTGAAGCTTCTGCTAATAAAGTAGAACAAAAATGATCAGAAAATTCACAGATGAATGTCCACATGCTAGGGTTTGAGTTTAACAAAAATAATTCAGTATATCCTACAATGCTCAGATAGAGACCTGAGCCCAACAGAAATCAGCATCTAACATTTGATGCTACTTCTCTGCTAAGACACGAAAACACCTTTGCAAAGTCTCCGCAACATTCAGTTGCCACTCAGTAAATAAAGAAAGTAACTGTATCTTTGTTGTCAAAACATCAACCAAGTCCATAAACTAGTAGAAGCTCCAGGTTCCTTTGTATAATTATTTCCTGCCTTCTTTTATGTAAGAATTGTACTAATCATGTCTTTCTGCTTAGACAGAAACATTTTCATATAGGATAGATAACTCTTCTTCTAGTTCAATACTGCTCCAATTTTATATATCACACACCACTTCCACATCCGTTTGCTAAGTAAATCTGACTATCTAACAGTATTATGTACATGAACAATAAACATGCTACATTTTTTAATCAGACCTTCACTGTTTAGCTGCAAGAACATGCTGTGCAGAGCCATGAATCTGCAATAAATTCACTTGCCACATTACCTACTTCTCTGCAGCTCAAAGATTAAATGCCAGCACTTCTCTGCCAGAGGAGGTGGATCTATAAAACTAAAGACTTGACAGACGTAGGAGGTGACAGTTATGTATCAATCATTTTACCCTGGCTGACATGCAGATACATCTGAGTCCAGTAACAGCGTATTACAATGCTATACCAGGCTGAGGAGAGAAACCATGTAACACACTTTGAGAACAAGACAAGAAACTCAAGAATGAAGGACGTAATTGACTGAACTGGAATTTGGGCAGCATGCTGATGTGATGCTGCTGTCTATGCAATCTATGAGGTTTTGATGGGTTGACAGTGGGTGTGAATCTAAATACTCCATTTTGTCCTCATAGCAAGACATTACATACAGACCAACCCTGTTCTGGTTAGAAACCATGGTACTCTGTCCATTCTTGCAAGGTATTACCCTCAGTGGTAACAGCTGCTGCCCTTGTTTGGCATCTGAGAGCAGAGAAGGGCACTCATGAATAAAAAGGTTTCAGGTCTTCTCCCCATCAAATACTGACAAAACTGGTTTGAAGGTTTTGTGTGTGTGTTGCTTTTTTCTGGCTTTTTTTTTTTTTCTCATTATTGTTGTTAGTGATGGTTTTGTTTTGTTTTGTTTTTTTGGTTTTTTTTGTTTTTTTTTTTTTTGTTTTTAAATACATCTGTTGAAAGCAAGATAGCACACACATGTATACAGCAAAATTCTGCCTACGTCTGTGTTTGCATGCCCCAGCCTGCAAGCTGGTAGGAACCAGCACTAGTGTACACAGCAGTTATGTGCTATAAACTGAGCAATGCTGAGAAAGTAGGTTTACCACACAATTTGGATTGAAATGAGGCATGCCGTATCTTTCTTATTTATATATGCAGAATCTGATCTAAACCAGCCTGAGATTTCCAAGAGGGATATTACAGAACAGGACAACTGCAATGTAACTTCTCAGAGATGCAGAAATGGGAGTCACAAAGAGAAATTTGCTATGCTACAACTAAAACAACACCCATAATTTACAAAGCTTAGTAGGATTTTACTTAGTAAAACCAGGTCTTTAAGCAGTCCAGGTGCTTTTTTCTGGCAACAAGACTTGCAGACTCTTGCTAATTTATAGATTCAACCAGATTTCAGGGTGCCCAGGTTCACCAAGGCAGTGTCATTGCTTTTAGGGTAAAGCAGCTGCCACAGGAATTGAATAAAGACACCTCCTCCCAGTATTTTACTCTGCTCTATCTGAGCAGACACCCCCAGGCTGAACCAGCAAAGAGGCACAGCATCATCTTCCTCCTGCTTTACCTGCTCCCAGGACAGCACCACACACTTCCTGAAAGGGCAAAGCCAGCATCACCTGCACTTTGGTACATACGTCCTCTGCCTCAGAATCACCTGTGTCCAACACTGAGCTCTCCTACAGACTGGCACACAACAATCATTCAGCAGGAGCACTGCCATTTGGGCCAATTCTCACTGCTCTGGCAGCAGCAAGAGATGAAAAAAAGGGAGGGAGACGGTAGGTATACAAGAACTTCTGCTAATAGGGAAGAACACCGGGCTTCATCCCCTGTCTACCCCTCACACTGGGGGACCCCAGAATGCCACTTCCACCCAGGTTCCTACCTGGCATCGACGGGACTGCAGCTTCAGGGGTGGCAGCAGGGGCAGCAGGGGGCTGCTGCTGGCTGGAGCTGACCTCGGGCTCTGCGCTCACAGAAGGTGACACAGCTGCCTCACCGCCCCCTGGGGCTGGCTGCGGGGCAGGCAGCAGGGTCTCTTCTGCGGCTGGGGCCTCCTCCTGCCCAGGCAGCTGCAGGGCTGATAGCGGGATGCTGATGGCCTTCCCCACGGCAGCGGCATTGGAGCTAGTGGCTGGTGCCTGCAGGGCGGCTGGGGGGCCGCCGCTTGCCCCACGGGCTGGGGAAACCAGGGCAGCTCGGGGAGGTCTCTGCACAGGGAGCCGGGGTGGGCCGGGTGGGGAGGCACAGAGGTGTTGCGGGTCAGGGTCGGGCCCAGCAGGAAGGGGTAGAGCCCTGGTGGGGCCCAGGCCAGAGGGCCCAGCCTGCACTGGTGCTTTGGGCTTGGACATCTGAGTGAGGGCCAGGGCCGGCCCATCGGCACCAGCCGTCAGCTCAGCATTGGCCACAATGTAGTAATCCTCAGGCAGCTCCTGCTTGATCTTCTTGAGCAGAACCTCGCCGCTGCCCTCGTCGGCTGGCTGGGCCTGGGCAGCAGCAGGGAGCCCAGCGGGTGGCCGCTTCCGAGGGCCGCCGGGCACACGGTGGAGGTGTGGCTCAAAGTCACTGTCCTCATCTGTGACGGAGGACTCGCAGACCATGTCGAAGAGAGTGGCCTCGTCTTCGTACTCCTCCACCGGCTCGCCCAGCTCTGAGGGCTCACTGCAGTAGGAGAAATCACAGGAGTCACGGGTGCGGGTGCAGTCCAGCTTGGCCTTCCCTGGCCGGCCTGGGTAACGCTCAAGTGGGCTGGCCTGTGTCTCAGAGGGCACTCCCAACATACTGGGACTGTCTGAGTTGAAGCTGCGGCTGTCCTGGAAGCAGACGCGTTCCTGAGAGCCAGCCCGGCAAGTGGCAGCCAGGGGCCAGTGGTAGGCATGGCCAGCACTGCAGCCCCACATGGCGGTCAGGTTGCCGTGGGCTCCCTCGGACAGCAGGTGCTTGAGGTTGGGGATGAGGCTGCAGATGGTCCCGTGGCTGTGGGCCCAGCTCACCAGCTTGGAGAGGTTTTCAGAAGAGGTGTGAAGGCAGTCCTCCATGGTGCAGGATCGGTAAAGCTTGGCTGGCTAGAAGTCAGCTGGAGACACAGTTTAGATGACAGGGTCCCAGCACTTACACTGGTGCTCCTCCAGTCTCATGCTTGTCATTTGCCTGCAAACAGAGAGCAAAACCCCTCTTTTCAGTGCTGCCAGCTCTAGTAAAACCATTTTATTTTCATCTCATGCACTCCAAAAGGCATTTCACAAAATAGCACCTGGTTCTTAGCAGCCCCTTTTCTTATTTCACTGAATAATCCATTGAAAAATGTACATTTAAAACCTCACGGAAAAACATCCTTGCAAAACACAACTACAACAAGATAAAAAACAGATTCCTAAGCAACCAAGATCAGTATTAACGGCAATACGATTTGAAGCTGACAAAATGCAAATACAGACAGAAAACTGGTGAACGTGACCTCATACTCAGGACACGAAAATTAAATAAAATCTTAAGCACACAATTTATCTAGAACATCAAAGTGACAATCTAAGCAACAGCTCAGATATTCACTATGCATCTGATGAAAATTTATGACACTTTACATCACTTATGCATGTTTCTCTAATTTATAAAACATTTCCTTTACAAGCAAATTTCAAGGATATTAAGGCCTGAAACTTTATTTTTCAGTATACAGAAATGGCTAGTAAATTCACCCTTTACTGTGCAGTATTGAGAGCTGTCATCTGTCCAAAGGCTTATCAGAAGCTTAAGGGACCTGCAAGGTTATGTTATAACGTTTCTTAAGGAACTTTGTGAACTAAGATTTTATTTTTACTACATCTTCTTGCTTCACAGATCCAAACTGCAATTCTATTTAAGATAAACACTTGTCATTTTCATCACAATTATCCACACATTTGCAGCACACAGACATCTGTCATCAAGGCCACAAATCCTGTAATATTTCAGGTCAAACATAAAAAGGCAAGGTCTGTCTTACGCTCTTTTCCTGCCAGAAATTGCTTTCCACCCACATGCAACAGGTACTTTCCAGGCAAGACCTCACCCACAAAACACCACAAGCCCTCAGATCTTCAGCACAAGGACTTTCTAGCAGACCTTGCAGTTTTTTTTCTGATACTAATTTCTAATCAGATGTGACATAGGTCATTCAACTAATTGAACAGAGAGAAAAAGAATAAAAAAGTATGTAAATTTAAACATTAAACATTTGTTCAGTAAATAAAGAAGAGCAAGGAATTGTAACATAACTTAGCTAAAGATGCTGAAATTGTTTACAGACAATTGCTTGGGCTTTAGCATTCTTTTCCCCGAGTGGTTGCTGTGGTCTAAGCTGGCAGGCAGCTCAGTGTTACACAACCCCAGCGTGCTGGGGGAGAGAATCAAAAACAGGAAACAGTAGAAGAACTCATGGGTTGAGACAAGGACAGACTGACAAGAAATGGATAAGAAAAACCAGGAATATATTAAACAAGCCATGCACAAGGCAATTGCTCATCACCTTTCAGCAGATACCCAGCCAGTTCCTGAGCAGCAGCAGCACTCACTGGCCAGTTCCTCCCAGTTTATTGTTCAGTGTGATGCCACACGATAAGGGACATTCCTTTGGTTAGTTTGGTTCAGCTGTCCTGGTTCTGTCCTCTCCCAGCCTTGTGCACCTGCTCACTAGCAGGGCAGCGTGAGAAGCTGAAAAGTCCTGGACTCTAAGCACTGCTCAGCAACAACTAAAACATCCGCTTGTTATCAACATTATTTTCATCTCAAATCCAAAACACAGCACTACACCAGCTCCTCGAAAGACATTTAACTCTATTGCAGCTGAAAGCCTGGTAGCAATCTACTCAGACATCCAGCAAAATATCATTCATGAGCCCATTTTCAAGCCCACCCCTTCAAGGACTTCTCCTGACATAGATTAAAGTCAATTGCAAAGCATTAACTGACTTCAGAAGGTCCCAGAGGCCTGTCAAAAGTTAACACTTTGCAGATATTCCCCAACATATGGCTCACACCCTTTGCCTAATGAAACTGGACAGTTCTCCTTACTTACACTCTTGTTTTACTTTTAAAAACTGAAATTACTTAAGTTGCTGGAAAAGATCAACAATTTAAGTGAGTTAACAACTCAGAATTTCATGTTTGCTCAGATTAGGTTGGGCTGAAAACTTCTGAAGTTATTTCTCAGGTTAAGCAGTAGAGATTGAAAGTATATTCGTATCCCAAACTAAAGATTGTGTTTCCTGTTCCACCAGGGGTCATTTTTTTTTTCAAACAAGGTATCTCAACTCAGTACAATCTTAATTTGGTAAATATATTTTTTCAATTATTCACGAACTGAGTGAAACATTTTTCATCAACATAACCAAGAGATAACAAAGAAACTGAAGCACTGACAGGTGATACGCAGAGACACTCAGACTTCCTCTGACGAATAAATCACACTGGGAACTTCTGCCTGTTTCAGCAGACTTCTATGGAGGCTCTTCCTCATCTTCACCCTTTGCTTTTGGAGCACGACCTACCAGACTTGGAGCTACTACTGGTCCCATCTCATCTATACTTCCATACATAAGGAAAATCCCTTTAAATTTTTTTCCCAGCTGAAATGCAGCATTCACACCAACATTACACCCAATTTTGTTCTTTTTCCTCTTCCACACACATTTTCAGATGTAAAATGTAATGTGTTATGGCTCAGAAAGACAGCTGCACTGTGGATAACAGCCTCCAGAGAACGCTTCCCCTAAAATCAACACAAGTCACGGCGTCACCTGAAACACGACTTGCACAACCAGTGCCTTTGTGCAGTGTAATAAGTGCAGCAGGGTCCCCACCTTGCAAATTCTGCTAGGCACACGATAATGTGCTCTTTTTAAATACACAGCTTTTAAAGGCCTACGAGTTTCACGCAGCTGTTTGTTTAAAAATTTTAAAGGTACACAGTCAATCCTGAAAGGGTCAAAGTCCCCACAGCACCTCCATTTCAGCTGACTGTGTATGCAAAAATCTGGGCATAAAACATATCCCAACACAGAACAAATACACACACTGTCCTCTGAGATGTGTAGTTCTTCTCTTCTGAAGGTATACCTGAACTGTCGGCGATCCATAGAACTGGAGCATTAACTCTGTAACTCCCAGTGCTCTACATGATGTTAGGATGTGAGAATATGATAACAAAAATCTTAAAACCATGACAGAGGAGTAACACCACACTCACACAAGAGAAATCACACAAGAGAAAGAGGACAGCCAGGAAAGCAAACGGGCAAAAGGAGGGAGCTGCTCTCCAGGGCTGTACTCATCATCAACAGCAGTGCAAGGCCATGGGAAAGCACAGAGCTGCCCAGTTGCTGCACGACCACGTACATATCTTGGGAAGATGGAAAGCCCAGTTTGGCTGAAGAACTGGGAAATGGCATCAGTTAAGTTCTTGAGCCTAGACTGCTTGTGCAGGGCTGAAAATCCAGAAACATCCGCTACTGAGAAACTATGTGTTTTTGGTTCACAACCTGCAGCAAAAGTCAACAATGCTGCTTTGGCAGGAGCAGGCTCACCCTGAAGAAAGCACAGCAGACAGACAGCAAATCCATAATTACTTACCTGGTTTCCTGAAGAGTGAGACTTGTCTGCTCACTCACAGAGCATTGCTGCTTGCTGACAGTCTGCTCTTGTATGCGAAATCACATTTTAAAGATTTAAGTCCTTCATTCAGACAGGCAAGATTCAATAAGATGACTCATGCTTAATTAACCTGCTCTCATGTACACTCTGAAATCATCCAGAGGCTGGCAAAAACATACTACAGCTTCATAACACTGTCTGCAAAGCCTTAACTTTCCACAGCACTTTTCTGCAGCTCAGAGCCTAATAACGTCTAGCAGAATGATGCATCCCTAGGTCTGGAAATTCACTACAGCTCTTAGAGTCCTAAGTTAAAAATCATATTTTATTGCTTGTTTACATTTTTACAGTTTCATTTACAACATTCCACTGAAGTGAATAATGTGTACAGAATACATGCTATGCCAGAAAGCTTTGCTGTTGCAAAACCATTCTTATGAATGTGTTAATACATTCACTGGAACATCATTTGATTTGGGAAGCTGAGTATTTTCTTTATCCATAACTAGGGTTTTGTCAGAGGAGATTTCCTTGGTGACCAAACAGTAGTGAAAAATGGTAGCCTCTAAAATAGGTCTCCTTCTCTTCCATGAGGCTTCTCAGTGCAGTGTTGGTTAGCACCTTATGGGAGGTAATTCAGGAGAAATGGGGAAATCTGTGATGTGGCTTACCTGTAGGCAAGGCAGACAAGGTGAGGATGCAGGGAAAGAGCTGAACTCGAAAAATGGGATGCAGTAGAAGTTAGTGGTAGAAAGTGGGGGTCCTCCAGCAGAGTTTGCACACTGGAACACGCATTTGGTGGACCTATGTCTCAGGGAAGGTGGCAAGTGCATTTTGTTGTAAGGAAGGCAAGAAACATGGCCTGTCTTTCACATAATCACAGGGTAGCCAATAATAGACTTCCTTCCCAGGGTAATAATGCTAGACAAGTCAACAGAGGTTTGGAAAAGTCCAGGCATCACACAAAAACATACCTGAAATCCCATTATCAAAACTGATTATTAGCATTTCAAGAACTTCCACACTGATTTTTGTTCAAGAGAACAGCAGAGCCATGAGCACATCACCCATCTCTTGGGATGTTATACCAAAACTGAGGTACCCTGTTCAAGATTTCCTAGAACCCCAAGATTCTCAAATGAGGTTATAACACAGAAATCACTATTATTAATAATAAAAAGTAATTTTATTTTATTACAACTGTGCAAAAAGTCCAAAATCTGAACTATAAAACATTTGAAGACGTGTAGAAAACCTGCATTTATTCATCTTAAGTAGCATGGATTTCAAACCAGTCTTACAATAGCTTAAAAGTGACTTCCAGCTGATTCTATAGAGATGCTGTTTTCTCATACTGGTAAAAAAACAACAACAACAACAACAAAACAAACAACTCAGAATGTCTCAAATCCTCTTTGTTACAGCCCCTCTCCCTTGGCCAGAACTTATGGGCTGTTATTCCATTGCCATCTGAGAGAGAATCACTGTTTACTTGAAAGTTTTTTTATCTTCAAGAGGGGAAACCCATCCACTAGTTAAAGCAATTGAAATAAAATGTTTGGCCACCACAACATTAAGCATCTGTTTCATTCAAGAGATGGACAACGGTAGGGCTTCCTTTATTACTAGTGCTTTTTAAGCCAAATGCTTAATATTGCTAAGGGACTGAAGTCAGCAACTTCAGAAATCCATTTTTATCAGTGCTGAGGTCCTCACCAGGTCCTGCTGGTGCACCTGTCTCTCCAGAATGACAAGCAGAACTGCATTTCTTCTTCCCAGAAGAAGAGGCTGGAGAGTCACCAGCAGCTGCTGCCTGTTGCAAGTATTTCTCTAAAACCACCTGAGATCCCAAACGCGTGTTATGATTTCTTAAGGATGTCATCTGCTTATCACTGGACTGGGATGGACAACTACCCGTTCAGAACAGGCCAGCAAACTGGAAGGGTCAGGAATAGGCAGTGTGCTCCCTCTAACGTGAGTCTTCAGGAGCACAAAACTTCCATCTCAACTCAAATATTGCTGCGTTTGCTTTCCGCTTGAAAGGCACACAGTGAAGCAAGGAAAGGGAGAGGAAGAAATTATACAGATAACAGAGCTTGCAGACAACATGTGAAGCATTCAGGTGCTCCGCCCTATCACTGGGGAGAGGGGCAGACCTCCATCCGTGATATGAACCACATATGTTTCCCTTTAATTAGGAAAACATGTTTTTCATTGAATGTCTCTCTAGGAAATAGAGGAGTATAAATTACAGAGGAAAGGTTCTGGCAAGTTCTGAAAGCTTTCAAGATAGTTTGGTAATGAACCTTTAAACCAGACAAGAACTCCTCCAGCTCTATTAACTTGTCACTCTTTCCTCATCACCTTTTCAGACTCCAGATGAGAGCCTGCAGAGAAAAACAATCTCTCAGCAGAACAAAATTGGACTATTTCCAAGCTATTTGAGCTTACACTATCTCATGTTTTTAGCTCAGTACAAGTGGATTTAGAAATAAGCACACTGTGGGAACCAAACCAAACCTTCACACTAATTTTCCACCTCTGCATTTCAAGGGTCACCCAAATTTCCTACCAATTCATTTATGTGCAGCGAGTGCCTTTGTTCTCAAATATTTCTGAGCTCCCATGCTTACATCTTGGGCCTTCTGAATTCAGTAGGGGTTCTGCTGTCGGATAGGCAAGCCAGATTTTCAACCATAATGATGAGAACCAGAGTTACAATCCCTATCACCAATAAGCAGCATGAAGCACCGCTTCCTGAGATGCAGACTGAGGGGGAGGTATGAATTAAAAATAACAGCAAGTCTTTCTGGGAAAGAGGTGCTGTTTTCCATTCATAAAAATCTCACAGTTGTCTGTCACACTTGCTGTATGAGCCTGCAGCTCCTCCCCAGCTGATGGTTAGTCTTCAGAGAAGATGCTCTCCTTGCCAAGCATGGCATGCCTTCAACTGCAGCTGTCATCACAGCAAGCCTGCAGAAAGCAGTAAAATCTGCGTGCTGGTGAAATTCCTTCAGCTAGACAAAAAAGAAAAGGATTTGACTGGGGGATTGGGGATTTGAGTGACCTTTCACATTGAAGAGTACACAGGATTTTGAGCTTCGCATTAGACTTCCTCATCCACAAAATGAAATGACCCACACATCACCAGCTGAGTAAACTGAAGAACAGCCTGGGAGCTTCATCCTTAATCTAAACGTAACACCAGCAGCACCACTGGTTTTACTGTCACCATTTTTCCTAAACACCCACTGAACAGGAGCTGTGTGAGCCTTGCTCCTGCGCAGCAGAGCTGAAGGGTTTTGGAAAACCAAAAGTAGAAGGACCAGATGAAACCGGTGCAGAACAGGCATCGTACTGAATCTGAGCAACCACAGCAGGATCTCATCATGTAAGAAACTCTCTTCTCAACCAGATGCCAATGTTTAAATTCAAGCTTCTTCAGGTTGACCCATTCCTCGTTCCACTCCCTGCAGTTCTCTGTGACACTCTTGGTAACTGCTCACACATACAAATTTTTTGCAACTCCTCCTGAACTTCCTGAACTTGTGCTCTCAGGGATACAGGACCGACACTGATGTCCTTATTTGCAATAAGAAGAATCTCCAGGGAACAGACAGAAACACTCAGGACTGTTTCATCTTGCTGAGGATCTCCCTTCCAAGAAATACACCAGAAATGAAAGTGAACTTTTTGCAGTTCATGAATGCATCTGTGAAGTTGCTGAGCACCTCTAGATTCAGAGAAGTCAAAGAAGATCGCAGTCCTAGAGTTCACTTTCTCTACCTTGTGCTCTTCTTCATTAAGTACATGTTCTGCCAAGCGTTTTCCATAGGCTCTGCTGCACTAAGGTGATCCTGTAAAATGCTAACCCTCCACGTTGCTTATGTTGTTTTCCTGAGCAGTGTGCTCAGGAGAGAGTTCAGGGTTTTGAAGGCTAAGATCTCGAACTATTAACACAAGGGCTTGTGCAGTGTAAAAAGAGTATCAAGAAATTTTGCTGACAAAAGCAAGAAAATTTTAGCACTAGCCATTGTGCAGACTTACCGATCATCTTGTGACTATTACATGCCCCCAGGGCAGTGGCACAGAACGTGGGGAACACGGAAATAACTTCCCCCTCTACTCATACTCCAAAGCTGTGCTCAGATTATGCATTTCGCCTCATCAAAGTGAAATGCTGGGCAGCATTTGTAGGTGCATGCATCACTGACAAAATCTAGCCTGCCTATCTGATCTCTGTGCATTCATTATCTCTCCTTCAGCACTCCAGTTGCACATACATGTCAGAATTTTGTGCATACACACTCCTTTGCAAAACTGGTGGGTTTTTTTCTTTGATTCTGAATTTTTGTCTTTTTTCTACATATGCGTGTGACACTAAATGAACACAACTGTGTGCTCAGTGCATTTAGGTGGATTTATTTTTAGATATACCTCCTAAAATGCCAAATCTATTAAGGGAAAAGAAATGCAGAAATGAACTTTTAAGTATTTATCAGGCCACCAGCAAGTTTTCAGAAGGCTGCCCCTATGTAACAATCTTCAATGCATTTGTTAAAATTTTGGAAGAGAGAAAACATAATTGGTTGTTTGAAATGTCCTTGAAGCCAAAATGTGCATTACTGAACTGCCAAAGCATGAGATACCTCCACCAGCTAAAATGAATCCAGCTGTCCGCCATCTCTCTTTCATATACTATCAAATTCACTTCCACATTTCAGAACTCTGTTTGTTGCATTGCCAAACATGACCAAATGTATGCATAAAACATAACACATATAATCATATACTTACAGAATAAAAAAACCACTAGCTGGACCTCCTTAAATCATGCTTTAAAAAATAAAAGTGTTCCACCAATTCAGTCCCATTCACTCCAGCATTCCTAGAGTGGCTGAAGGCCCTGCAGAATGGAACATAGAGTGAAGCCATTTTTAGCAACATTTACATCCTACACTAGCAACAGCACAAAAGATGCAGCAAGAATGAAGACCTGAGGGAAACACATCCTGAGTATTTGCCCATGGAAAGCTGTGCACGAACTTGGCTCTACATTCCTGCACTGTTTCAATGGGCCTGACACTAAATGTTTTCAAGCCTTTAGACCCCAATTGTCGTTGTCACTGAAGTAAAAATGAAGGTCTCCACTCTTACATTTCTATCACTGCAGTGTTGCACTTTCCTTTAACACAGGTATGACTGCAACCAGAACATGCACCATCAGATTTGCTCAGGAGACCTTGATGTAATACCCTTTGAAGCCAAAACTCCAGTGACTAAAGCAGACACTGAAGCAGACTCAAATGCCTATTTAATGAGTTTGCACTTACTTGAGGAACAGTGTCATTGCTGCCACTTCCCTGGATGAGAAAGAGCTTTAATCTCCATTCTCCAAGGAACTGGAACTGATTTAAATACACTTGTATGCTCATGATTCTTGTATCACTATCTTTGGTAGATGGCATTTTTTGGCTGAGTCACCTTTATCTCTGTCATAGCTGGATTCTTTTGCTTTGAGTTAATGTTTTGTCTGCCAAAATTTAATATAAGAAAAACAAAACAACGATAAACAACAGAACAACTGATTTAACATGCTCTGGCCCCACCAATATTTGCCAAGGAAACCATAGTGAGTGGGTATCTCTACTTACAGCAGGGCTTGCTCAAGGAGCAAGACTGACAGTTCTTCCCTAAAATGTTCTTTCCAGGGCTTTTCAAGTTGTGTTACACATCTGCAAAACGGCTTACTGGAGCTGTTTCTGGTCTGGGCTTATCTTTTTCCTGACAATGTCCAGTCAGTGTGTCCAAGCCACTGCTCAGAGATGGGCTAAGTGTGGCAAGGCAGTCAAGTCTCCAGGAAACAAGAGGAAGACCTAGTGCTCCGTTTCTCTTAATTCATCATCTCTCCTAAGTGCTAGAAATCCCCACCTTCACATTTAATGACTTCCAGCTAAGCACCATCCGCTGGCGCATGCTATGCTGGAGTGACAAGGGGCAGATGGTTTCTACAGCATCCAGCATCTCCAGTATCTTTGGCAACAGAACTCTGCTGATAGCACTGTCAAGGTGCACACAATGGCAGCACCACATGCTGTATGGTGCAACTGGTGCACCATGCACAGGAAGATGCCTGTGCATTAATTTGTTTTAGTAAGCAGTGGTAGAGAGTTTTGTTGTGGCCTCAAGTCAGTCTTAGCCACCTTTTATATTTTGCTGCCTCTGTATTCAAGCAAGAGATGTTTTAATGGAAGAACACATTTTCTGCCAAATCATTTCTGAAAAATATAATGCATAAGATTTTAAAGTGACGAGCATTTAAAAAAAAAATCAAAGCTTTCAGTTAGCTATCAGGGGCTTATACATCTTGGCTTGGCTCTTTTTGGTTGTTTACTCAAACATGTTCCAAAATTGCTTCTTCACAGCACTTCTCAGGATGGTCTGAATATAAAACCACACTGCATCAAACATCCCAGCATTTGCCTCAGCTTGTGGTTCACAACTATTCTCTGTTGAAGACAATGACCCACACACTTGGAAAATATTTAAAATACATAATTGCCTGCATTTGCAACAAAGTGTGTTTACTCTCCCTATTTATAGCATTATAACAAGGAGAGTCAAGCACACAGCCTAAAGGCAAGATGCTTTCCCTGGTCTTTCATTTTCCTGGAACTTCTTTTAACAGAAAGCCTGCAAGTAATTTACTAAAAAGAAAACAAGAATGTTATCACTGACTTACACACAAATTACAAAAGCCCAACTCTCCCATTTTCTTACTGCAAAAACAATGCCTTAAGTTCCTGCCCGGACAATCAACTACACCACGCTCTCCCTCACAGCAAACACAAGCAGACTCTCTTTGCCCATTAGTGACTTCACTATTCCAGATTTGGTTTGTATTTTTCAAATGTAGGTTTCCTCTCTGTTCAGGGCTCTTCTAAACTAAGGAAAATTGGAGTGGTGCAGCCTGTTAGCCATTTGGCTAAACAGCAAGAGTGAAACCACACCATTAACTGTCTGCACAGAATAGGGAGGCTGCTTTCTGCACAAAATTAGAGCAACCACAGCAACTCGGTGTTTCTGTGCAAGGATGAAACTGTGCTTTCTATATTAAAATTTATTTGTTTATCTTTTCTCATTTTTTTAGAATCACAGAGATTGTTTTGTACTTAAAATGATTTTCAAAGGACTTAATTCTCAGCAAAAATAACATGAAACTTCTATAGTGCATTTTCCAAAGGATCAATAATAACCCTAGCATCAGGGTGAGGTCCTGCCTTGAAATTTTCTTTTAAAATCCTCAAAAAAACATTGATCTATGACCTGGCTTATATCCAGCTGTACATAACAGACCACATGCAGTTGAGTCCCTAATAAAGTTCCTAGACAAGGTTTTGACGAGATGTAGAAGAAACAGGAAAAGGAAAGCTGCCCCAGAGATGAGCCAGGAAACACAAGTATTTGCATTCAGATTGTAGCCGGTCAGAAACACTGGGTAACATTCTGTCACCAGCAATCGGCGGATAAAGAAACTGCAAATGCTCCATCCAAATATTTGTTAATTTTTCTGTTAACCCTGGGGACATTTCTAGCTGCAGGCCTCTAACATATTATCATAACAGATCAGATTATCTAAAATTTGAATTGAATTTTAACGCAGACGATATCCTGAAACCACCCAGGGGTGCTTACTGAGGGTACACCAAGGAGGCTGAAGCCTTGTGATGCTGGGCCTGAGACCACGAGGGAGCAGGGTGCACAGCTGGACTTCTCCCAACATAAAAACCAGCGTGTGAGACACAGCACAATGCAGAGTTCAGTGGGACTAAAATTGTAAGGGCTTAAACATTTGTCCATGGAAAAGATCCCTTTGATCTTGGCTGGTTCAATCAACACAAGTCACAGTTCTTATAGGCATCGTGCAGCTAAAGGGATTGACAGGCACTGAGTGGGGTTTTCAGAGATCTCTACAGACATGTAAACAACTATAAAATCTCACCACGAGTGTTTAATGATCTGTCAAAGCTTCCTTCACACACCAAGTTCCAAAGCTTTGGCCAAAAGAGCTAAATTTGTGTTCTCATGCAAGCACAGTTCTTACAGCAGCACAACATTTGGCACGTGTAACATGGAAATACACAGATGGTGCGTAATTAAGAAACACAGAGAATGTTCAGAATATTCATGTTTTATTTACAAGATGCACTGGTGGCAGGCATGCAGAGGAAGATTTCTGAAGAAGAGTTCTAGCAAGGAGGACCCTCAAGAGACTCACTTATTTCTTCTTGAGATTTGAAAGCACAAATGCAGCCTTCAGACAACTGAAGTTCAGAACAACATGCTACTTAGGCTGAGGAATAGCATGAAGAGCAAATGAAAACAAGGCTATATCCTAGGCAATCAGTAAAAAGGAAGTAGGGTGCATAAGAAAAGCATAACAAGATATTTATGGCATTGTATTAATTTAATAAAATCTATTCTCATTACAATTCATTTATAGTGGATCTAGCCTACCAAATAGAAGAGGACACCCTTCCCAAATTACCCACTTCTGTTCAAATTGTTTTGCTTCGCAATTAGAGTGAGAAATGGCCACAGCCAAGATGCATGTTAGCAGAAACATCTGAATAAAAGCTATTGCAAGCAAGATAGTAACTTTTTTAAGGTACATACCCCAAAAGCACAACACTAACCTCTTTTAAGAAATGTATACAGATAAACTTCTTATTCTTTCCAAAGATAATGGAGGAAAAAGTTCAAAATATAAAACTTTCCATCTGTGGTATTGCAGACTTTTTGTTCTCTTGCCAATTAAAAGACAGGCAATAACCCAAAATATTTTCTAAAACACAGCAGGTTTCAAAGATATCAGAAGATATTTTACTATATCAACTTTATAGTGTTCCCAACTAATTATCTTCCATTATTGCATTTATTCCAGGCTTTGAATGGAGTTAATAGAAAATGTACAGTCATTGTATCATAAATAATAATAGTAATAATAAACCTTTATTCTATAAATGAGACAAAATGTCATGCCCAATGGTCATTCCATGGATACTGACATCAGTATCTAATTTCTGCTTTCTAAAGATACAAGCAACCTATTAGCAATTAATTACAAACACCAGAAAATATGTCACAAATAACTGAACAGCACAGTCCAGGTAGGACAAAGCTTTTGAATACATGCAATTACCAGTCTGATTTTTGTTTTTTTAGTAAGAACGCACACACTGGGTACCCAATCATCTAACTGTGCCACAGAGTGTGTTTGCTTTGCACTCACACTACAGACATAGCTTTTCATGCAGATTCAGCAGATATCTGGGCCTGTCTTTTTCAGAAGAACAAATCAGAACCTAGAAGGGCTGTTTTGGAATGACAGTGAGGAATGACACAGACCATTATTTACAAAGTAGAATTCAAACAAAAAAAAAAGAGAAAGCTTGGAAAGGAGCGTGCTGCCCTGTATAGAGGGAGTAAGCACACGTAGTTTCCCTGACCAGCCTGACATTGATTGGCAATGAGCTTGGACTACTTCATCCTCTCTCAGAAAGATCTGCTGCTGTCAGAACTGCTGATTAATTACTGTAACAGTGAGTCCAAAACAAGAACCCGCACTATGTGTTCTTGAATTAATGCCTTGAACCTCTCTGCTGGTTTCTAATTGTCTTTTTCCAATTGCAAAGTTCTACTAGTGGCACAAGGCTGACGGCGGCACAGTGAAAATTACTGCCACAAGCTCAGTGGTGGAAGTGTTGTTACCCTTCCCTGGATAGTACTTACAAAGTCTCTCCCAAGGTACTCTGTCCTTTAACCCTATTGCAGACTGCAAAATCCATATTCAGTGCTGAGAAAGAGCTGGAAAGACAATTCTCTGATGACTTGCACCAGAGCTAA